TATATATTATTTATTTATTTGTATATATATATATAAATGGAACAAGCCCTCGTACCGTAGTTATCCTAGGCTGGAGAGTTTTGTCTGCTCTGTGATACTCACCGAGGACCTGTTCTGTGATTGATTGAACAGAATCTGTCGCGAGGTCGGGTAGCATCAGTCGGGTCGAGGTCGGTGTCAAACTCAACGAGTCAGCTCAACAGGTTGACTGACGATCGCTCGCGCGTTCGCTCGGTAACGTACACGCGGTCACATATCTCACAGAGACCATGTATATAAACGATGAAGAGAAACAAGACGCGCTGTAATTAAGCTGGTCCGGCAAGTTTTCTCTTCTCTGTGTGCAGTGGAGAGACCTGTTCTGTGATTGATCGATGGGAATGTGTCGCGCGGTCGGGTCGGGAGTACCCTGCTATTTCTGAACGACGCTCATTCTCAGCAACAGTTGGCTTGACAAGAGTTCACAGAAAGCCTGCTCGTCGCAAAAGGTAAGCCATGCAAAGCGCAAACTATCGAATAAAACCCCTAATTAGTTTAACGTATAGTAAAAAATGTTATTAATTAGAATAAACTACTAATGTTTTCATAAACAAGTGTTATTGGAATAGGGAAATGATGACAGCTAAGTTAACAAGTTAGTGTACGTGGCACAATGACACCGACAGTGTGTATGACATAGGTATATATGATTACAGGTTCGCCATCGCACACGGAAGGAAATATCGAAACAATATGAATGCTCCACGCAAAATGTTCACGCGGAAAGCACTGCTGGTAGGAATGCATATTCTAATCTGAGCGATAGATTCTCTGCACACCTCGTCATAAAAACTGGTTCAATGTTAAAGCAATTATTCTACTGTCTAGTGATTGTGGAAGAGTACTGAGAGAATAGAGTGAAGAGTAATGACAGAGTAAAGTGAAGAGGATAAGGTAAAAAGTAATAGTGGAAAGAGTGATCGCGTTTCGTATGTAACCTTGTGGAAATCATAGAAGGTTCAATGTTTATTACTTGGAAATCCCCGTATATGTATCCCATATACACGCTATACCATAGATATGCTACATACACCATATACCATATAGATATCCCATACAAGCAAGCTCATAGAAATATACTTTTAGAGTAGGTATAATACATACCTTATATAGCGTAGATATAATACATACCTTATACAGCGTAGGTATAATACATACCATATATATATATAAGGTATGTATTATACCTACGCTATATAAGGTATGTATTATACCTACTCTATATATAAGGTATGTATTATACCTACGCTATATAAGGTATGTATTATACCTACGCTATATAAGGTATGTATTATACCTACTCTATATAAGGTATGTGTTATACCTACGCTATATAAGGTATGTGTTATACCTACTCTATATAAGGTATGTGTTATACCTACGCTGTATAAGGTATGTATTATATCTACGCTATATAAGGTATGTATTATACCTACTCTANTTATACCTACGCTATATAAGGTATGTATTATACCTACTCTATATAAGGTATGTATTATACCTACTCTATATAAGGTATGTATTATATCTACGCTATATAAGGTATGCATTATACCTACGCTATATAAGGTATGTATTATATCTACGCTATATAAGGTATGCATTATACCTACGCTACCTACGCTATATAAGGTATGTATTATACCTACTCTATATAAGGTATGTATTATACCTACGCTATATAAGGTATGTATTATACCTACGCTATATAAGGTATGTGTTATACCTACGCTACCTACTCTATATAAGGTATGTGTTATACCTACGCTATATAAGGTATGTATTATACCTATGGTATATCAGGTATGTATTATACCTACGCTATATAAGGTATGTATTATATCTACTCTATATAAGGTATGTATTATATCTACGCTATATAAGGTATGTATTATACCTACGCTGTATAAGGTATGTATTATACCTACGCTGTATACGGTATGTATTATACCTACGCTATATAAGGTATGTATTATACCTACGCTATATAAGGTATGTATTATACCTACGCTATATAAGGTATGTATTATACCTATGGTATATCAGGTATGTATTATACCTACGCTATATAAGGTATGTATTATACCTACTCTATATAAGGTATGTGTTATACCTACGCTATATAAGGTATGTATTACACCTATGGTATATCAGGTATGCATGATATCGAAATATTCCCGATGACGTCACTACCAGGACGTGTATCCTACACATTATAGCGAACTAAGTTTCCGTCGAACATTTCAACTCTTTTCTGACCTACAGGTGGCGACACTGGTTCTGCTCGCTCTCGCCGTGCCCGCGCGAGCCCCTGACGGCCCGACGGGAATCAAGCAGAGAATTCTGGAGAAGGCTTGCTACCCTTCGTGCGAGTTCGTAGGAAAGCACTGCGGACATTGCGTCCCCGAAGATGACGGCACCGCACCCGCACCATCCGCGAGAGAAGAGATACACGAGCGCG